ATAATATTATAATAATAGTAATAAATAGCCCTGATATAGCGTGCTATCCCATAAACGTTTTGGTGACACGACACGGTGGAATCAGACGCTGGTCAGTTTCTGAGCTAATAGATAGAGTTATTGGTATCATCTTTTAACTTTTGTCATTGTTCTCGTCGTTTTTTAATGAAAAATATCCATCTATCCGGAAGAGAAGTCGAGATATGTGTCATTGAAGGAGGTAGGGGTTGCCCCGGGGCAGAGGTAAAATTAGCGAGAAAATGGCCGCAAAGGTTGGGTGACTTTAAACATTTAAATGTCCTAGGAAATTGCAAATTTACTATTTTTTGTACCGCTCAGTAACGTTTTCAACAAAATTCGACAGCAAATGTGTTTTCAATGGACGTAAAAGGAGTTAAGGCAAAAGAAAAGTCGATGAAAAATGAGTGCTCTACATGCAGAAAAGTGTCGATTTCTCCCATTTCCAAATTTTGACGAGCGCCTGATTTCACCACGATGCCACACTTATAGGCTCTAAGTAAGCACTTGTAAATGTTTACGACCCCCCTCCCTCTATCTCAGAGGCCTCAACTAACTTCTTCTCTGAAGCTGTTTGAAAACGCGCTGTACATATTTATCTTTCAGGACGTGGGTGGTTGGAGGGTGCTTTGGTGTGGTTCGCTACTTCTTTCCTATCAAACATCTCTCGTCCTCATCCCCCTCCTCCCTTTTTGTGTTTGTTACTCTTGCAACACCTATAGATGGCTGCTTGCACTGTATGCTTCCCAGGAATTTGAGGTTGTTCTAGAATGCTCTCATGTCTGCTGGGGTAATAGTATAGATTGTGAAGCGCATAGAGCTTGCTATTTAGTGGGGATTTGCGCTATACAAATGCTATCTATCTATTATTATTATTAATATTATTATTATTATTATTATTATTATTATTATTATTATTAACAGTCGTAAGAAGGTAACTAAAAATAAACTTTCAGGCGACAGGGTTCCCGGGGAAAGGTCTAGTCTCCTCCACCGGTGCCAGCTCCAAAGAACAAAGAACCGTGACTCTGTCCATCTTGAGGGCTTTCGGGATGGGCACAAACATCCTGGTCGAAAACATCCAAGAAGAGGCATCTCATTTTGTCCGTCACCTCAAGAGTTTCCGGGGTCAAGCGGTTGATCTGCGCGTTCCAGTAAGTATGGCAACTGCGAATGTCATGTGTGAGATTTTATTGGGGCGCAGGTACAATTATCACGATCCGGAGTTCGCGGAACTCATCAAGACTGTTTTGAAGTTTTTCAAAATGCTTTTCACGACGAGTGTGGTCAACTATTTCCCTTTTCTGAAATACTGCCCCGGGGATTTATTCGGAGCAAAGTTCGCGAAAGAGTGCACGAGTGGGCTTGTGAAAACGTTTGCCCAACATTACGCGCTGCACGAGAGAGAAAAGAAACCAGCTGGAAGAGACAAATCTAAGGACAAGGATAATAACAATAACGATAATATGATAGCCGCTTTACTCCAAGAAAAGAAAAGAAAGGTTAACAATGGAGAGGAAACGTTTCTCGATGAAGGTAATATCGTGAGAACTATTACGGATCTATTTATAGCCTCGACGGAAACGACAAGCTCTACTTTACTGTGGGGTATTCTCTTCCTCATCAGACATCCCGAGGTCCAGGAAAATATTTACGAGGAATTATGCAGAGAGATCGGGGCAGACACCGCTGTGAGACTACAAGACAGGAATAAGCTACCATATATCAACGCTGTTATCATGGAGACCCAACGATTGGCCAATATCGTCCCCCTCACGATGTACACATGCGCAAAGTCGACGGAAGTGGGAGGTTACGTCATTCCTTCCGGCGCATCTGTACTCGTAAGTCTAGACTCAGTCTTGATGGACACAAACTTGTGGGGTTCCGACGCAAAAGAATTTCGCCCAGAAAGATTTTTCAACACCGAAGGAAAGCTCTGCGCTCGAAAAGAGCTCATTCCGTTTTCTATAGGCAGAAGATCTTGTATTGGAGAGGCTTTTGCCAAAATGGAGCTCTTCTTGTTTCTCGCCATTTTGTGTCAAAATTTTAAGTTTCTCCCCGCTGATTCACTTCCATGTCAATCCCCTGTGTTCGGGCTCACCCAAACTCCCCGAGAGTTTAAGGTTCGAGTCTTAAGTAGAAACAATGCTAGTTCTGAATAAATGAGGAACGTGTTTAGAGACATTGTCACTGCTCTAATTGAAGGTCTTGACTGTGTGGGAAATAGAGAAGATTGTTTTGTGATTTGTATATCTGTGTGTGTGTATGTATGTATGTATGTATGTATGTATGTATGTATGTATGTATGTATGTATGT